CGCGCCCCCCCCCCGGCCGGGCGACTGTCCACGTTAGCAGTTCTGCATAGTCATCAGACATGTCACCTGACATATCAACACTCTGACCAGTCAAACTGCCACGTCATCAGCACTCTAACCACGTCACCCCAAAATCCACCTGGGACTGCCACATCAGATTTGGTGGACCCCATATGTCCTACGTGGCTGACACGTCATCACAGCCATGTCAGCTCCCTAGGTTTTGATCCAGTTTGGCACAACAACTATTCCTTATGCCACGTGGCGTCATCTGCGGCGTCTAGTGATCCCAAAGTTTGATTGTTTAAATCTTAGCCATCCAAAGTCCGATTTGGGTGATCTTAGTGTCGTTTTCAACTTTTTTGGCCATTCCGGACACATCTATAAGGTCAGATTTTGCATATTCAAAGTGGAGAAAGAGTAAAAATAATTGATGAAATAAAGGTTGCGGGAAATTGAAAAATTTGATGGAACTGATTTTAGATATTGGAAAATACGAATTGAAGACCAATCTTGACGAATCTAAGCACCGGTAGTCTCGCCAGATGTTGAGAAATCAAGTATAAAATTAGGATACCTCAGATCACTTGTAAAAGAAAGTCCCGACAAAGCTAGCAAATGGTTGTATATACGAAAAGATAGTACGATGGATAGATATGACCTAAGAAGTTCTGTCTAGGAGATTGGGTTTTAAGCGGGACCGGTGTGACTCCTCCAATCTTTCCTGGAAACTTGCTTAGTGGAAAGATTATCCATACGATATTATTTTCGTATATGTGACAGTTTGTTATGAAGCTGTTGAAGACTAGCAGGATGACGGCACAAAGGAATAGTTAGGTTTCGTATGATCAAGGATCTGATGGAGTGGTGATTTCTCTAAGGAAGTTAGATTCAGTTACTGTAATTTCTCGAGGGGAGAATTGATGAAGACCCTGATAATGGTAGAGAAATACATCAAGGAAATGAAGATTGACATCCTATTTTGACTTGGATAGATGTTGTGACAGAATGAGCTGCTGTCAAACATAAGTAAAGAATAGAGAGAAATCTGGAGAATCAAAATTGCACGAGAGCACACGAAGATTGTGTAGGAGTACCCGG